AGGTTCCGAGGCTTTCTCTCTGTCATTCTCCACCTCTATTGCTATCGCCAGGAATCCGGTGTTGGTTCGCTTGACGTCCTTCTCGAACCTGGCGAGTGTCTCCACTGGGATATCTCCTGTATCGTCCCAGTTGGGTAGCTGGACTCTCCTTCCTTTGTTGTAGATACTTGCGGTGCGTTTTACCCAGTTGATATCGGGCTTGAATTTCTTGAGGAAGTCTCGCCCGAAGATCAGGTCAAGCCCGTTTATGTTGGTGATGGGGAGAGCAGGTTTCCAGCACAGTGGCCCGATTTGTAGGTGTAGCACTGCTTCGCCGTACACTGGTAACTTGCTGACGTCCACCATTGTTGCAGAAAACGCTGATGGCTTGTACTCTTCTCAAAGTCGGTCGATGGTTGCCTTGTCGCATATGGTGTGTGATGCTCCGCTGTCCACGAGTGCTTGGAGGCGTCGTCCTTTCCAGATGACCTCGAGCACGAGGGGCAGGCGTTGCTCGGAGTACCCAAAGACAGTTTCATTGATTGGGTCATAGGGTGCATCCCAATATTCGTTGCTTCCTACTCCTGAGCTGGCAGCTGGCCGAGGCTGCTTCGAGAATGGCTCTTCTCCAGGGCCCGGAGTTTCCGTAACGACTGTTGGTGTCGTTGACGAAGTTGCCGAGTTGGATGCATCTAAAGAAGGAGTTCGGGGCTTTTGCAGCTTCTTGTAGACCCCTAGCTTCCTCTTGAGCTGCTTCAGCTCCACCGACGTCTTCCCTAGGGAACGGGTAGTCGTTGTGGGCTGGTGTCGGGAGAGGATGGTGACTCCGTGGAAAGGTCGACCTCTTTCCACACTCCTTAATTTGGTCCCCAAGTTTTATGGTACCGGTATGATCTCCACAATTTTCTGCTTCTTCTGGAGTCCCTCCCGAATTTTCTCCAAGGCTCTAGCCCCTCGAGAAATACAAGTTTTCATTAAAGCATCTTTGTAAGATAACTTTAACGAATCCTTATAATTTCTTGGGTCTTCAAGGAGTTTCCGTGTCTCGGCAGAGTCCTTTTTCGCGGAGTTAGTTTTTTTCTCACCGATTTCCTTTGGCAAAGACTGGTCGTGGGGTGGAGATTTTTCCCCATCATTTTCTCCAGTTCGCGTCGAATCAGCTGCGTCGAAGTTGCTTTTTCCGGAAGTCCGTGGCCGCTTTTGGATCTTTTCTTTTTCGCCAGCTAGATCCGCGATTACTGGCGAGTCCCGTTTTTTTGCTTCTGATTGGCCACTGTTGCGTGCCTGATTCTCAGCGCCTGCAGCTTACATTTTGTTGCAGTCGAAGATTCGATGACCCAGCACCCCGCAAAAATCACACGTGAAGTTGGTGTTTTTCGGACGTGGCCGCCCTTCGAACCTGTCAATTTCCATCAGGTCGGCGAGCGTGGGGTGAGCCGAGCGGTCGCCCTTTCGCATACTGCCGACGTGCGTCCGTCGTGTCCCGGCGTTGATCATGTCGAAGCGTTCCACGGCCGATACGACGTCACTGTAGCTCGCGTAGTTTGTCACTGCCACATATCGTTTGACTTCGGTCTTCAGCCCGGCAAGGTACGACTGTACTTTTTCCCCTTCGGTCAGATTGGGAATGCGGTTATAAAATTCTTCCATCTGCTGCGTGTACTGTGCTACACTCCCGAACTGTCGATGGCGATGAATCTTTTCATGGGCAAGGAAACCGAATTTTATCGGCTCGAAACGTTTCAGCAGGTCGGTGCGGAACTGCTGCCACGTGGCTTCACCGTGGATGAAGGTGCTGTTACCGTCGATCCACTCGAGTGACGGTCATCGCATCAGTGTTGCCGCGAGTCGTACGCGTTGACCATCCCAGATTGGTGAGCTCCATCCGACGGCTGCGAAGTAGATTTCCATGACGGCGATCCATCTTCGGACGTCGGAATTTCGATCGCTCGGATCGAACGGCTCAGGTGGGCGCGGTTTCGGAGCCTCGAGAAATTGCTGCGACTGCTGCGTCGTCGCCGTTGTCGTTTCGTGTTGCGCGCCGGCGAGTCGAGTTACTCGCTCGAACTCTTGTCGCCAAGCTTCGCTGTCGGCTCGCATCTCGTCCTGTAGGGCGGCGATGCTTGCAAAGAGCTGCTGGGTAACTTCGGAGTTGTCGAAGTTCGCCATCCTGTTCAAAACACGCGCGGGGCGGGTAATTCGAAAAAACGCGGAGGTGGTGCTTACCAGAATCGACGTCGAATTGGTCGCCCCCGGCGGTTTTTCGAGGCAGGAGTCCCGCTGCTGCTGCTTAACTGAGCGCGGCGGAGTGAGAAAAGCTCTAATACCAAGTGTTACAGGATCGAATGTGTTGAGGAAAGGTTGCACTATCGATTGGTACAAGGCGCTTTTATACTTCCAAAGTACATCAGGTAACCAGGTTTATCATGTTCCAAGGGAATAGACCCTTCTAGAAAATAGAATCACCCTGCGTATAGCCACGCGAGGCTATTGGCTTTAAGGGATTACGGCAGGATTACGCTAGATATAGCGTGCCAGTACACCCCGAGCCTGGTCGGTGATATTATGATAATAACAGGATAAACCAAAGGTTTATGGAAAGGGAGAAATTGGAATCCAAATGGAATGAGATAAAAACCGAATGGATCCGGATAAAAAGATGAATGAAATGGAAAGGGAATATGGAAAGGAGAAAAGAATGGAACGGGGTCGTGCTCTCATACCAGCTCTACCAAGTTTGCAGGGCGAGAACTGGTTGACTGTTTCGATCACAACCAACCCTTTGACCTGATCGGTTCAGAAAAGCAAACCAGATGTTGTTTCATGCATATACAGTTTCGTACAGTGTCACCCTAAAAAAACGAATCACATTTTTGTTTCGCGATTCACGCCCACACTGCGAAGTACAAATTCAGGTTTCTACCCCCCAACCAACCCGCCCCATCTATTTCCTGGAAGAACTCGGCAGGTTTGCACTACCTAGTTCCGAGAGGCACCCAGCCCCACCGAGCTGGAAATCCTTCGCGAGCATTTGGCAGTTTTATGTTAAACTAAGGTAGCTAGGAGTAGGAGGAAGCCATGGAATGGCGTGAGATTTAGTTAAGGAGAAAGTTGAGGAGAGAAAAGAGTGAGAGACTAGGAAGAGAGAGGCATACAAGGAGGGAGTTGTAGCCTCTATAGTAGAGTTCGATAATCCTACCAAGCCTACCAATTATATAACAAAATATATTTTTCACACACCCCCTAGGCTTGGTATTCACAAGCCCACCCAACACACACACACACACACACACACCCTAACCCCTTACACCCCCATGCTCGAGATCAGCCGGGTATCTACCCATCGAGCTTGGCATGGTAACATCCCCCGGCATGAGGCAGCGCGGGCAACGAGCATGGCTGAAGGCTCTCAGCGGTGTGGCACGGCGAGGCGACGACCGGGTAGAAGACAGCAGCTGCGGCATGAGGAAGAGGAGACGCAGGGGAAGGGGGGGGCGAGGGGGGGGAATCTTCAGCGACGCACCATGGGTGGCGCGGCACTTACAGGCGGGAGAGGGCGAATCTCCAGTGAGGCACCATGGCTGGCGCGTCACTTACTGGCGTGAGAGGGCGAATCTTCAGCGAGGCACCATGGCTGGCGCGACGCTTACTCGCGTGGGGGCATTACGACTGGTGCCTAGGACAGGGCGCTGGCCGCAGGTGTCAGTGCGCTTGCGTGGCGAAGCCGCTACGGCAGCACGATGGCACGGCGGCACGGCAACCGAGCGGTACAGCGGCGCGGCGCCACGGTGACCCAGCGGCACGGCGGCACGGCGGCTCGGCGGCGCTGCGGTACCGTGGCACGGCAGCATGGCGGGATGGCGACACGGCGTCACTGAGGCACGGCGACGTGACGGGGCCGGCGCGGAGTGACTGGGCCGGCGCGGCGTGACGGGGCTGGCGCAGAGGGACAGGGCCAGCACGGCGTGACGGGGCCAACGCGGCGTGACGGGGCCAGTGCGGAATGACGGGGCCGGCGCGGCGTGACAGGGCCAGCGCTGCGTGACGGGGCCAGCGCGGAGTGACGGGGCCAGCACGGCGTGACGGGGGGGGGGGGGGGGGGGGGGGAAGTACGCTGCGGAAGCGTGAGGAGAAGGCCCGAGCGAAAGGGGCCTGCTCTGAAACCATGTTAAACTAAGGTAGCTAGGAGTAGGAGGAAGCCATGGAATGGCGTGAGGTTTAGTAAGGAGAAAGTTTAGGAGAGAAAAGGGTGAGAGACTAGGAAGAGATAGGCATACAAGGAGGGAGTTGTACCCTCTACAGTAGAGTTCGATAAACCTACCAAGCCTACCAATTATATAACAAAATATATAATTTAACATTTTATGCCAGCTGCTCGGTTAGCACCTCAAGGTGCAGCACCTTGAGAAAAGAGGACTTGCAACCTGCCGGTCGGGCTTTAAATTTGGTGGCAGAGCTGCGTGACAACCCCGTTCTAGCAGTGAACGTCTTAACCTGATAAGGAAATACCATTTCTTTACATGTACTCAAGCTGGATAAGCAAAAGCCCCAATTTCAACCGGCTGAAGTCAACCAAAGTCTTGGTCTCTTGAGGGGAACCAACGCTGCGGTCGTGCGCCAGCCCTCAGATTCAATCTGGGGGTGCAATTTGATGACACCTCATCCTGCCAGGTGATGCTGTGACTCGGCTCGGCTGCGCAAGTGAGGCCATTCCATTGCACTGCTTCCCCACTCATCTGAAACTGCCAACCTTGGTACAGCAAGTGCTACAGCCTCACCCACTTGCTTCTGAAACTATCCTTGGTCTCGCCCCGACCTTCCGCCGAGGCGAGCTACATCTATACGCATGGCTTTGTTTATGGTTCCGATGACCATGGAGAGAACATACCAGGACGTCAGAGCAAAACCGCTAAATGATTGAGAACCAGACATGCAACCGCTAAAAAAATAGCACATTTACTATGCAATACAACACGAAGACCCTATCATAAAGCCAGAAGCATCCAAAGAGCAGGTACAAACGTACCATTCATGCAAAAATGTTATGCCGAGCGTTCCGCAGGAAGCAGTCCGTTGTTCTCGTTAATCTGTGGTAGCGTGTGTCCGTCGAACGCGGTGTAGAGGCAATCAGCGGCCATGACGCTGGACGTTCGGTAGTCCTTCACCTCGCCGTCCAGGTACCCGCGGCCCTCCACGCCGTCCGCCGCGAACGACCGCCGCAGGAGCACAGATAGCGACGTGTACTCCACGGCGCGCTGCCGCCGGCCCTCGCGGTACGTCTGCCCCATGATGCCGTGCATGGCGGGGGTGCGCTCCACTTTCGTGTAGTGCAGGTTGATGTGCGTCTGCGCGTCGTCCGCCGTCTGCAGCAGCGGGTGCGCGGGCCGCAGCTTCACGTCCAGCTTGATCAGCCCGTCCACCTCGAGCGTGTACGCGTCCACGTCGAAGAACCCGCCGCCCTGCTTCTCGTACCCCGTGAACGCCAGCGTCAGCCCGCCAGGAAGCGCGTACTTGCTGCCCACGGAGAGCAGCGGGAGCGCCTTGCCGTCAAACTCCATCTCCCCCATGTACCCCGCCCCGCGTGCCATCTCCTTGCCGTCGCGCGCGGCGATGCGGAACGAGTGCTTCGCGCCGGCCGCGTCGATCCACAGAATGCCGAGCTCCTTGATCCACGTGCGCACCGCCTTGCCGCCCTTGAGGATGGACGCACCGATCGTGCGGTCATCGTAGTACCCGCGCATGCGCATGTTGACGTGGATCCGCGCGTCCGTGACGAGGCAGAAGCTCTGGTCGGGAAGCCCGTTGAACTCGAACTGGGTGCCCTCAGCGCCCGTGAAGTGAGGGTCGTCGAGGGACGACGGGCACGGCCGCGATACGCGGGTCACGTTCCACGCAGTGCCATCGGGAACGCAGGTGGGCCCAGCCGCTAGCGGCGGGTAGATGTAGCACGTGCCGCAGGTGGAGCAGTCCGAACGGCTGTTTGGAGACAGGAAGAGAACGAGAGGAACATCAGAATATCGTTTAGAGAATTATCTGAGTGTTGATACTTGAGAGAATTCTTGGAGCGGAGTCGAAGGCTGCACGCTTCGCATCGCTGAAACGAAGGGAAGGTAGTACTTGGCGATCGGTACTACTTACGGTAGGTAGTACTGCCAGTAGGTGCATGTGCGGCGGCTTCGGCACTGCGCACAGCATTGAGGCTCGGAAATTTTATTGTAGCAGTAGATCTTGGATGTGCCGACGGCGTTCTCGAACTCCGGAGGACACATGGCGGTCTGTATAAAATCGGGAAACGTGTAGCGGGACAACCGGCCAACGTTTCCCGAGTTGCATTTAGTTGTGCAGCTGAGTTGATCCGCGGCCACGCAGGTATCGCCAGTATAACTGTTGCTGCCGCCCGTGCTGCCGTTCGTGCTGGTGCTCGTACCGCTACCACCGCCACCGTTACCACCCTGGGCCAAGGCATGCGACGCCACGGCCAGCACCACCACGATGGCAAGCAGCACTCTGATTCTCGACATGGCAGGTGACGCAGTCTAATGCACACCAAGCTGGAGTCGAATGTCCGTGAAGATCACAAGGAGAGTGAAGTTCGGGGGAGAGCTTCTTGTCGGAAGTTGTAGAGTAGCAACTGCGCTGGGCAGAAGGGCTAGTGGAAAAAGCCAGGGTAGTATGCTGTTACTGTGCTGCTGGGAGCCGCTACTAGTGGCATGCAAAGCGAGGAGGTTCTTCGAAGTCGAGAAGGGTAGTATAGTGCCTGATGGAAGGATGCAAGTTTATATACTCCAGAATCTACGTAGACCAGCCTGTACGCATACCCCGTTTGTGGCGTCAATTGACGACGCCCGTTGGGTCTTCGCAGACTGACAGCAGGTTTGCTAGCGTCAACACAGTGAACACTGTAACTAACAATGTCTGGCGAAGACTCGAACCCTGCGAAGGCCTCGAGGCGCTATGTCAGACGACTTGCGGATTGCTCCTCCTGCCACAATGGTCTGACTGAGGGCTAATTCCGCAGCGAGTGTTAGACCCGAGGGTTTAGCGGGAAGATCCGAGGCTGGAAAAAATTGCCTTGGGTCTTGCGAAAAAATGACGTCTCCAGCCAGTCAGCTGTCAAACCGAACAACTATCAAAGTCGCGCAAATGAGCTTCCACCAATCATGACTTCGAAAATTGCAGGTTGACTCAAAAAGTTCGACCAATATTGTCGCAACCCTCCCCTTGCGACAGTCCGCGACTATGCAGCCGCTGCACCGTCAAGAAAATTAAACCCGCAGTTAGGTTGTGACAACCCGCGGCTTCTTCGGCCGCGGGTTGACCTCGTGTCTGATACTCGCTGTGGATTGTGCCATGAGAGGACCCTGCACCTGCACGGCCAGGTGGTCCAGGAAACATGGCTGGAGTGGAGAAATTGCATGTTTTCCCTTGACTCCAGCCAGTCATGGAAATGACGCAACAGAGAAGCTTGCTCTTCACAGTGTACAATTGACACCAGGGCATATGCTAGGTTTTTGGGGGGCACGGACAGAAAGGGCGGCCCTAAAAATTTACCCTTAGAACAACGGCTCAGAAAACATCTCCCTTAGAAAAAAGAGATTGCACAAAAACCACTCGTAGGGCTCGGGCAAACCTGTCGTGGCATACAGAAAATGCACCCTGAGGCAGTCGAGGAGAATCTGCCAGGAAGTAAAAAAACCAAGACATGACATTCTGCCTTAGCGTTGGCATGAAAGCCTAAACAAGTTTGTCTTTTGAGGACAATTCCAGGCTGCGAAAATGGTTCTCTTTATGAATCCGCAGGAGTGAGAGGAGGAGAAGAGGGCAAGGGCGAGGGTTAAAAAACAATGCCGCAGATTGGGGGAAATGACGGGTGTGAACAGACAAACCGAAAAGGGGGAGGGTGGGAGGAGGGGAGGGAGGGTGAGAGGGGGGAGGGGTGGTGGGAGGGAGAGAGTTTAAAATCAACAGGCACCCTGAGAACTCTCCGTACGGAAAGGGTGGCGGGCCAAACAGCCCAGAACTATACGCGAGGGTTTTCACCGGACCCTTTGAACTACAGGGTCCAGCCGAAATCTGCCTTGAAAATCAGTCAAAACGGGCATTATCCCTGGTTGCCACGCCTCCCCCCTTCCCCCCTAACGTGCTATTGGGGAAGTTTCCGCACTGCGGACGAAACCCCAAGAAATCCCATTTCGAGATATTTGAAGGAATCTGCACGTTTCGTGACGGGCAAAATTCTATACAGTGCATGAAATACACAGTCGCTTATCATAGAAAACGAATAGAAATCGATGCACAATACTTACGCCGTGCCTCGGGGAGTTCGTTGTCGCACAAAGCCCCATCCATCCCACCTAGCGCTCTGAAACGCCAGGCACCTCACTGAACCTCATATCAGAGAACCGTTTCAACACGGCCAAAATACCCCATACCTTCGTATATTAGTGGAGGAAATCCATTTATTACCCTTGCACCATTCTTGTGTGTTGACAGAGGATCCAGAACAGCTTGACTAGGCGTATACCTCAGTCCAAGCCAAAACGACGAGAGCCTTGTCATTTTTGAACCGCTGACAGCTCTGTGCTTGACAGAGGCGGCGAGGTCAGAGGCTACAGTTGATTGTCTGGGCTGTGCTGCCTTGAAAATGACAAAGGCAACAAGTAGAGAGAAAAAAGGACAACCACACCCAGCGTGCAATTCGTCGGCTTCTGGATTCGGCAGACATGTCAAGGGATTGACTGATGGAGGCTAACATGTCCCTTGACAGCTTGGTTCCATTGTCAAGCAACACGCCACCATCACTCCCTGTGTGGACCCCAGGTGTCGTATGCGCCCGGAGCGTCTGGCTGAGGCAGGCATCAACGGCGGACGCTTTGCCACAAGCGATGTCGCTAAACCGAGGGCCCTCGTTATCGGCTCATACAGATATTGGAACGCCAAACTCTGTCTTCTCCAGGGGTAATTTAACAAACTTCTGGGCCGAAAAAAAGGCGTCTCATCAGCGTTTGTGATCTCTCAGCACCTTGCTGAACCACACTTTGTAGTTAATCAACGTTGTGTAGAATATCAAAACCGTACGGAACCGTAACACTGTGAAAGATTGCTAGCCGTAATTCAGTAGTTATTTAGCCTCAGCAATATGGGCTGTGGAACCGTGGAGAACCCCGACGGTGGTGTTTTATAACAGTTAGAACCACCAGGAACCTGGACCAAAACCAATCAATTCAGGAGACAGAGTTCACGCAGAGGGTTTTTCCCCAGGGATCGACCCGACAATCGTCACACGTTGGCACTGTTCATTTGACGCACAGTTTTCTTCTGCCTGACAGGCTGCAGAGACTGGGCAAACAACGTCAAGCGACGCGGGGACATTGCTAGAAATCTCTGGAGTACAAAACCTCGCTGGATTGCCACAATTTTCATCAGTTCATTCCGCCTTTCCCTCAGCTCCACCAATAGCTTCCAGCAGAACTGTTAGCAGAGCCCTAACAGTGATACAATTTATATTTGTGCTTGCCAATCTGCCCGGCGCTCCGAATTGCTTCCCAATCCCCAACATTCCGACCGGCAGACCACCCTTTTTCCATCCAACACATCACTCCCGATCCTACGCGAGCCCTTCCTTCCCAACTGGGCTTTCCCTGCGACACTGATGGCCAAATTCAGAGTGCTGCTTACGATTGTGGTGGTTTTGGCCATGGCGTCGCACGCCATGGCTGGCAACGGTCAGGGGTCGACTAGCACTAACACTACGGGGAATCAAGGCAGCAACAACCCCACTGGCGATCCCTGCGTACCCGCGGAGAATATCACGTGCTCCACTGCTTGCAACTCGGGCAACGCCGGCATCTACTCTCGCTACTCGCTTCCCGCATTTCTGCAGAACGCCACGTGTCCGCCCGAGTACAACAACGCCGTCAGCACGAGCCGCCTCTACTGCTACGAAGGCATGAGCCTGCCGTCCTGCTGCAACAAGTGCATCAGCCGTCGCACATGCACCTACTGGCAGTACTACCAACCGTGAGTATTCATACCCTCCTGCTTCGCCGACTTCGTCGTTCTAGTGGTGTGTCAATGAACGACGTACGAGTCGCCATCGGAGGAACCAATTCCTGTTATCCGTCTCTCTCTCTTTTCTCCTGTCTCGCAACAGACGTTCTGATTGCGCCAACTGCGGCGTGTGCTACATCTACCCGCCGCTCGCGGCTGGTCCCACGTGCATTCCCGACGGCATCCTGTGGAACGTGACGCGTGTGGCGCGGCCGTGCCCGTCGTCCCTCAACGACCCGCACTTCACGGGCGCCGAGGGCACCCAGTTCGACTTCAACGGGCTGCCCGATCAGAGTTTCTGCCTCGTCACGGACGCGCGGATCCACGTCAACATGCGCATGCGCGGGTACTACGATGACCGCACGATCGGTGCGTCCATCCTCAAGGGCGGCAAGGCGGTGCGCACGTGGATCAAGGAGCTCGGCATTCTGTGGATCGACGCGGCCGGCGCGAAGCACTCGTTCCGCATCGCCGCGCGCGACGGCAAGGAGATGGCACGCGGGGCGGGGTACATGGGGGAGATGGAGTTTGACGGCAAGGCGCTCCCGCTGCTCTCCGTGGGCAGCAAGTACGCGCTTCCTGGCGGGCTGACGCTGGCGTTCACGGGGTACGAGAAGCAGGGCGGCGGGTTCTTCGACGTGGACGCGTACACGCTCGAGGTGGACGGGCTGATCAAGCTGGACGTGAAGCTGCGGCCCGCGCACCC